GATTCCAGCACAGACACCACGAGGAAGAAAGGAAAACGCCAGAGAAAAAGATTCACACATTTCCAACCCTGAGACAGAGGAGCAAAATGAAATGCGGTATGAAAAGGGGTGAGGGGAGGCAAGATGGGAATAGCCCGTGTAGCTGACAGAAGGGTCTACCTAGTCCAAACCTCGATTTAAAAGCAGAATTGTCCTTTATTGATGATGATGAAGAAGAAGAAGAAGAGGAGGAGGAGGAGGAGGAGGAGGAGGATGAACAAGAAGAGAAGAAGAAGAAGAAGAAGAAGAAGAAGAAGAAGAAGAAGAAGAAGAAGAAGAAGAAGAAGAAGAAGAAGAAGAAGAAGAAGAAGAAGAAGAAGAAGAAGAAGAAGAAGAAGAAGAAGAAGAAGAAGAAGAAGAAGAAGAAGAAGAAGAAGAAGAAGAAAGCAAAGAGACATTTGGAGCTGGCTAAGAAGGCGGGCGCTGCTATTCCAGATGATGGTGCTTTATTCCCCTTCATTTTGCCTCCATCTGGAAAGTCAGAATCTGTCTGAGCCACGTAGTCCTTGACTTGCAAACAGCAGGCACTAGGAAGGAAGCAGGACTTCCTTTTATTATAGACTAAACCCTTAGCAGGTGGCTTCCCTGTGTGTTCAACAGTCTGCCTGCCATCATCTGATAGGTGTTTTTACATCTCTAATTTGCATTTCTCTTTGGCTGTGTTCTGACTCCCATGGGGGACGAAATCTACATCTTTTTTTTCTTTTACTAAAACATTTCTCTTTGTGCTTAGCCCCCTGGTGCCCAGAAACCCTTGTCATGTCAAGTTCACCTTCTGTTTTAATAGTGGACCTCGGGATTTTCTTTTCCAGGTACTGTGGACAGCAGGAGTCCCGAGAGGTGCTTGGTGGTAACCGCAGCACAGTGCCAGCCGGCCACCCTGCACCAGAGTGAGGTCTCCCTGCAGCTCTGCATTCTTTTCTACAAGAATCAAAAGAAAGGCACACACAAACAACTAAAAAGAAAAACTGAAATCGATTTATAAATCAAGACTGTCTTAGTAGGGCAAATAATATTTGACCAAAAAAAGGAAGGAATCTAAATATTACATATTATATAAATATTTTTATTTTTATTCTATTTTATTTGGTTTTGGTCTTATTTATTATAATTGTGGGAGGCAGCCTAAGACTTACAATGGCAGCCACTACTGGCACCTGCAGGACCTCAGAGTAACTCTAAGGAGCCTGAGAGACCCACAGAGGCTCCAAGGGGAAATGCTCTGGAGGAGAAGTCTACAGAACCTGCAGTACCCAGAACAGCTTTTTAAAAGGCAGGTCTAATGAGAAGATGCTTCTAAAAAGTGGGCTCACGGAACTGGAAGGAAAGATGGCTGAGCAGAGCCCCGTGCACACAGTGAGAATGGCAAAACTAGAGACACTTCCTTAAGGGTGTGGGAGCGACCTCAGCGGACAAAGAACGTGGCCTTACTGATAGGGCCAGTACTTGGCCTGCAGCATGGACCCGCTGCTGGCCGCATGTGCTATAGTCATGCCTGATGTGCCTGGTGAGCCTCCGGGTGGCCAGCACCAAGGACAGGGTAGTGTGTGACAGCCTAGAGTTCTCCCAGAAACATGTCTTTACTGAATAGGGCAGCATGGAGCCAATGTGGCTGTCACCCTGCTGGAAGAAGGGGAGTGCCAGGCCACAGAACTGCCCTTAGACAGCCTAGAGCTTACAAGGATCCTGTCCCTGGATGCCCTGCCTCTGGGCAACAGTGGGGTATACAAGTTGAGTCTCAGGGATGGTCCAGTTATCTATGGTGCTTCAGAGACCAGAGACCTTGAACCAGACCAATGACTCGCTGCTTTGAGTATTTGCATGTAAAGCTGTTAGGGTATATATACTGTGTGGCACACCTCAGTGTGCAATGCCACTTCAACAGTCGATTGAGAGCTCGGAAAGCTGGGGGAACGGAGCTGAGCATGTGACCTGACAGAGGTGACAGGCGTGGGAGAAGGCTGAAGTGGACAGGGGAGCGTGCCCTTACTAAGCAGAGCTGGAGGGACAGGATGCAACAGCCTGGAGCTCTGGCAAACTCTGTCCCAAAAGTTGATGCCTAACCACAATCCCCCTGACTCTGAGCAACGACAGGATACCAGAGATGAAGAATACTTCGTTTTCTGGACCGGGCCTCCTCAAAACTCCTCCATGGTTCATGCTGCCCCCAGAAGCCATGTTTACACCCAGGGTCCATATGGACACTGTGGTCTGTGATGCCACCTAAGGCCACGTTGATGCCTGTGGCCCTTGTTGCTTCTAGAAGTTGTGTTGATGTCAGTGATCTGTGATTCTGCCAGAGACCATGTTGGTGTTCGTAGTCTGCTATACTGCCAAAGACCAATGGATGTGCTGCCGCCTGGTGGGAGCCATGTTGCCACCAGAGGCCATGTGGATCTCCATGGCCTGTGCTGCCACCCAGAACCACGGTGATGTCTGTGGTCCGTGCTGCGGCTAAGATCCTTGGGCTGGGCTTCTGCTGGAGGCCAAGTGGTTGTCTATGGCGCCTACTGCTGATGACTGTGAAGGGCAGGGTCAAGGAAGCTTCTTTCGCAGTGATATTGATGGCTGCAGACTCACAGTTGAGAACGAGACACAGAAGACTTCCGTGACAACCTCTCTCCCACACTTCCACTCCACTCCCCCAAAAAGAAACAGTCTAGACAGGAAGCCATTGACAAGAACTCTTAAAAATTGTGACAGGGATGCTGAAGTGTAGCTCTTCATAGCTGATGGCTTCTGGTGGGGCTAGGGGTTGGGAAGGATTCAGTTTTCTTTAAGAAGCTGGCCGCTGGGAAATTTGACCGTGCTTCAGTGAGTACATGGGCAACACAAATTGGACCTGGCTTATTTTTTTCTTTTTCTCCTTCTCTTTTATTTTTTATTTTTTTGGTGAGGAGGTCACAAGGGTGGGGGAGTGGACCTGGGAGGATAGGGAAATGAGCGTAAATGGTGTGCATTGTGTGAAATTGCCAAGTAATCATTAAAAATATTATATTGGGAAGAATTGTGGGCAGCATGCATGTGGAGGTCAGATGACAAACTTACAGAGCTGATTCTCTCTTTTCCCCTCTATGTGGGCTCTGGGGATCCAGTCCATGCTGCCATGCCTGGGTGACAAGCACCTTAACCTGCTGAGTTATCTCAGTGGCCCCCACTGTAAGGAATTTCAACAATGGGGTGGAGGTGTCATGGCCCGTATACAATGAAAATGTCACCACAAAACAAATGTTGGCTCTTTCAAATCACAAATTTTAACTCCTTCAAATCCAACAAAACAAATGGCCTTTCATGTTCTTTAAAAAAACTACAGAACATATATGTGACTGGTGGTGTTAGCCTGGAAATACATGATATTGGGTTTCTTTTCCCCTTGGAGAGCCTTTGGGGATGTTGTTGGGACTTTTCTTTCAATGGTACCACTGGAAACAGGGGTCCTGAGTCTCAGCCCTATTGACATCTGTGCAGAGTAGAGGAGAGAGGGAGAACAGCATCCTTTGCTTTTCCGTGTTCTGCACTGTCTGACCTCCATCCACCATATGCTAGTTAGATCTCCTCACAGGATTTTCAGCTAACAGTTGTCACGTGTCCCCAGGGGGAAACCTCTGGCTGGAAACAACTAGAGAGGCTAGTTCTCACTTCAGAAACCAGGCCGTCTTGTCCATGTTTTGCAGACCATATTTACCTGCACGTTAAAGCTCTTGTATTTGAGGGTATGATCAATACAGAGAAGGCTAGTTTCTGGTGTTACTTTTGTACAGGCTCTTCCATGGAATTAAATGCTCAAGGGACTGATAATCCAGTCCAGTGGCTTCACGCTTCCAAAAGTAACTGAGGAATGGATTATTGAGATGCAGACTTCACAGAACCTAATAGATATGGAAAGTATGGTTTTGAAAGGGAAGTAATATGAGCAAAACATTTTTGGAGAAGTTAAACAATAGCTAATGGGATGGAAAGACGTCTTAGGGCCAGGGACTGGAAGATTTAATATTGATAAGATCATAAGCCTTCTCACACAGAGCCATCCCGAGGTTTTCCTAAGTCACAGTGGAAAGCAACGGTGACCTGAAGACCATATCTAGGTTTCAAGCCACAGGGAGACCATTTATTCTTCAGATGCAGCCAAGGAGGATAACAAGGAAACAGAACTTTCCTGGGCTGTGAGGAGCGATGACTGGGAAGCAGCTCCAGATGGCGGAATTAGAGTCCACTCAGGAAATAGCCTCCACCCCTGGGGCCCAGTTCTATTTCCTTCCACAGAGATTTCAGAACTGCTGAGTCAGAGACAAGCGACAACTTCCACTCTTCTGCACTGTGAGCGGTAATGTCTACTGTAGTCACGCTGGTCCATCTTCTGCCATATTTTGGACACTTGGGCACAAGTAATTTGGCTTCTCAGCCCTAGATGCCTGGATCAGGTGGAGCCACTTGAGACCCAGATCTGGAGTCTGAGAAGAGGTTACACGAGACTTTGGGATCTCTAAAGCAAAGTGGAAATATTTTACATACAGAAGAAGAAAGCAAATTTCACCGTGAGAGCAGGCGGTCATGGGTTTTAATGATGGCCCCAATTGTTTGCTAGCCCTGAGAGGCGATTATGGGTGTCAATCATTCTCACTTGATTTCCAGCTCCCGCCCATAAGCGATGGCTGCTGTTTGCACCGAGCATAGTTACAGACTTCCTTTTACCAGGAAAATGTGGATGGAGGTGATACACATACCTTCCCACACAAGTTTACAGAGCATCTCATGGCTTGACCATCGCTTCCTCCACCCCATCCCACCACCATCATCTTGCCCATCTGAAAACACTTACTGAGCACAATCAAATCAATTCAGAATCTCAGCCTAAGGAATGAAGGTTGTGACCTTGGTTAGGTTTGGGTCTGAGCTTAACTTATACAAGTAGATATAGATATAGAGATATATGTCAGCCATATTAGTAAAAGTATCTCCCAGTACTGACCTGGCAGGGGAATGTACCATGATCACGAAGGTGGTTTGCCCAGGGCGAGGCTTACCCATTGCACTCTGGATGTGCTGACCCCTGCAGTTTCCCCAAATGTGGGAAATTCCACTGGATAATTTGTGGTAGTGGGGGACTGCGTTAGTGCTCTCCCCTGAAAAAAAAAAAAAAAGAAAGAAAAGAAAAAAAAGAAGGAAAAGAAAGAATTTAAAAAATATCTCCCAACTCTATCTTCTGATATTTGGAAATTGGAAATAGTTGAATTCCATTCCCCTTTACAAAATTGTGTGGTTTTTCTTGGACTTCTTTCTTTCTTCCTTTCTTTCTTTTTTTTTTTTTGCATTTTGTTAAAATTTTCCTTGGATCTGGGAGACAGAGGGTCAAGAGGAAGACAGGAGAAGAGTCTCACTGCATCTATTCGGGATCGTGTTGCAGGGCTATCCAGGGAAACAGTACAAAAAAGAAACATAAAACATCCAGATAATAATGGACAAAGTAGATTTCTCTCTTTATAGGTAACATGTTGTTGTCTGTAGAACACCCTTAGGTACCCTTAAGGAGCCACAATTAAGAGGAAGGGAACCAGTTGGAGGGGGAGGAGACCAAGAAAGTAACAGGAGGTGCATTTGGTCAAAATGCATTACATACATGAAAGAAACGGTCATGATGAAACCCTTTATTATGCATAATAATTATATGCTAATAAAACATTTTTTTTAAAGAAACAACTGTTAGAGCCAGTGACTGGGTTCAATCACGTTATAGGATACAAGCTCAATATGCAAATATCAAGTGTGTCTCTATGTACCAGCAATGAAAACCCAAAAATGCAGCGAAGGAAACAATTCCACTTTTATAATAGTATTAAAAATAAAATTGTTAGAAATAAAATTAACAAAAAATTTAAGACTTATAACTGGAAATTTTTCCCAAAGGCATTAACGACCTAAATAAGCAAAAAGACACCTTGTGGATATGACCAGAAAGACGTGGTACTGTCAAGGAGGTACTACTTCCCAAACAGAGTTACCCTACACAAAGCCAGCTGCTTGTTTCCGGAAACTGACTAGCTAGCCCTAACATGTACATGGGCACACGAGAATACCAAAATAGCAGGGGAAAAGGAAGAAAAAAAAAGAAAGAAAAGCCAGGGAATTCACAGTTTGCAACTTCATAACTGCTACAAAACCACGCAGGTAATGGAGGCCGTGTGGTAAAGATATAAGGGTAGGCAAGCCCAGCTCAATGGAGTAGAAATGAGAGCGCAGGACAAAATATACCTTTATGTTATGGTGGATTTCTTTTCAAAGGGGTGTGCTGTAATGACTCGGGGAGGAAAATGTCTAGTCAACCAATGAGGTTAAGATAATTGGATATTCTTATGCAAAAGATACACCATATGCAATGACCCAGACTGACTCAAAATGAACCATAGACCTTTACCTAAAGAGTGTGTGTGTGTGTGTGTGTCCCAAAAATCCAGGTCTAATAGGCCCTGTGGGTGACAGTGTAGCTTGGTCTGTGTGTGGGGCCCCTAGCAGTGAGACGCAGATCCAACCCTGGTGCATGAACTGGCTTCTTGGAACTTATTCCTTATGGTGGGATGGCTCACTCTCCTTGATGCAGCGGGGAGGAGCTTGGTCCTGCCTCAACCTGACAGGCCATGCTTTGTTGACTCCCACGGGAGACCTTACCCTGTCTGAGGAGTGAATGGGAGGAGTAGAAAGGAGGTGGGGAAGAGGACAGGAGGAGAGGAGGGAAGGGAAACTGACTGATATGTAAAAAAAATTCTAAAAAAATTATTTTTAAAAATCCAGGGTCTAGGTTAACCAGTGGTTCCTCAGATACGACACCAAAGAAACAAGAGAAAAAAGGCAAATCATTAAAATGCATCAAAGAACCCTATAAAAAATAAAACCCTACAAGATGGGCCCATGTAATGTGCTTGCCCAGCATGCAAGAAGCCCTTTGTTTAAACTTAAGGTGAAATAGACATGGGTTTTCCCTTTGGCACCTCCTAGAAGTGATCTTGAGGGTATATTCACCCACCCGGATTGTTTGATAAGTTTTTCATATTTCTTTCAAGTCTCCCTGATAGAGTTAACTGCCTTCTCATCTAAGAAGCACCTCTGCCTTGTTCAAGTTCGAATTTCTGTAACCTCTCTGTGCCTCTTTTCATCATCCGTATCCAGGTCTGCCCTGACAGACTGCAAGCACAGGGGTAGGCAGTGCCACCCCCGTCTTAATGCCAAGAGCATGCCCAGGTGTGTCCGTAGACCTGAGCTCCCCTCCTGTGTTTCTCCTTTTCACTCCTTGAAATCTTCCCCTCCTCCCAGCACATGAGTTTTCTATCCTTTCATCTCTGCATCTCAGTCCACTCAAATCATGGTCCAATCTGGACGGCAATTTCCCCATGCAGCGCATCCATTTCTGATTGTTTACGTTGCCTCTACCATTTCCCTTTTGGCTATGAGACCCAGCTCATGAGAGTCATGTTAAACATACGCTGTAAAGGTATGTAAAGCCACACACAGCGTGAGGACACTTCATCTGTAAACAAGACTTTAAAAGAAGTCATAATTTCTGTCATTCTTTCCTTTGGCTATCCTTGCCTCACCAATACCTCTCAGTCCCTCTAACCTAAAAAAAAATTTAAAAAAAAAATAGTGGATCTGAAGGGCTAGTCCTCAGGTCTTCCTTCTACAGTTCAAGCACAGGTTGCATGTCTTCTCCCAGGCAGCTGTCCTTCTGTTGGAAGCAGGAGGGCTTCTATTTGATGGGTATCCATGGCCTAACAGATGCTGAATGAACCTGCCACCTCACCAGTGATTCAACCCCTGTCTGTTAGCCTATCATGGCAGTTGACTGACTGAGATCTAGTGGGGATGGATCAACCATTCTTTGTGGTTGACTGACTGACTGAAAAATCCATCACCAAAAACTGTAGTGATGTACAGTCATAGCATATATGTATGTACATACATATAATATTCATTCTCTGGTGGGTTTTATTTAAATCTGTGCAACCATGTTCCTCTAGTGGCTCACCAGATTTATGGCCATTTTCTTATCCCTTTCAACTGGCCTGACTAGTGATGGACATTTTCCAGGCTACAGATAGCCAAATGTTTCAACTACATTACCATAAATTAACAGATTAGTGTGTTGTAAACAGTGTGTTTTGTTAGAAGACTCTTTCTTACAGTGTGTGTGTTGTGTGTATGAGCATGTTTGTGTGTGTGTGTATGTGTGTGTGTGTGCATTCACGTGGATGCCTGTTCAATGCCGCGTGTCTTCTTTGATCACTCTGTACCTTATATTTTTGTGTGTATGTGTGCACTAAAGCGTAGGCATGTGTGTGCCACAGAGTGAGGGTGAAGGCCAGAGGACAGCTCTCAGGAGTCGGCCCTCTCCTGCCACTCTGTAGGATTCAGGAAAAGAACAAAGATAGTTAGGTCTGCGTGCAAGACCCTCTGCCTGCTAAGCCACCTCAACAACCTCTCACTGCCTTGGTTTTTAAGAAAGGATCTCATTAAAATGGAGTTCACTGATTCAGGTAGGCTGACCACTGAACCTCAGGAATCTACCAATTCTGCCTTCCACCCTCTAGGATTACAACCACATGCCGCTGCCCTTGGATTTTTACCCAGGTGCTGGGGATCCAAATTCAGGTGCTCATTCTTGCCCAGAAAGCATTTTACCCACCGAGCTATCTCCCTGGCTCAATTTCTCATCTGTCTTGGGTGAACTCTTTAAAACAGTATCTGCATGGACCAGTGCCAGTCTCTGGACTGGTTTTTGCTGGTTTGTAATGAGATGGATGCGAAAATTAAGAGTAAGAATGGAGATATTTTAATTGCAATTTGATACAGTAATTATGTGTCTATATAATCCCATCATTAAAAATAGATTTTATGTTTTGTATTTCTTTTGTGGCTCATTAATCTAGTATTAATTTTAGTGTGTTTTACAAAAAATACTAGTCTAAATTATTTAGCTGTTTTTCTCAAACTGTATTTACCAGAGATGGTTTGAGAAATGCTAACCTAAAATGCCAGGTCTCGACTATTCACAGTTGCTAGTCTTACCTTATTCCAATTGTCAAACTGTCATTCTCTCTGAATATGTGAAACTTGAACCATCTTGTCCTCCTTATCCCTCAAGCAGTATATGTGTCGAAGACTTGAATTCCCTGACTTAGAGCCCCTCATGTTATGGGGTTCATTGTGGCCATAAAACTAAGGGGAACACCTTCAGCTACTTGAACAATGCATTCACCATTGTGGGGTAAGAAAGTTTGTCTCTGTTGATTGTGGCGTTGGCTGCTCATTGCCAAGCTGTAATAAATGAACTTTGCTAAGTAGTCTCTCACAGGCATGGACCCAAGCCCGGGAGACATGGGAGCATCATTTTTGATACGCCCCCGTCCAGCATGGTCGCAGCATCATCTCTGCACCGTCCAATCAATGTCACTTCTCCCTGAGCCTTATTTCAAGGGGACTTATATATCCACTGTTATATTTCATCTGATTCTCATGCCAAACAGTCAACCTGTCTCAGGAGAACTATGTTTAACTGATTATGTCTTAATCTATGACATCATATTTTTTTTAAAGAACATCGTTTGAGGACACTGATTTCTATTGCCTTTTACAGCCCCTTTCCATCCAGATTGTGACAGGGATGAGAGTGATGGAGTGGAGAAAGCAAAACCAGGACCGAGGATGCCAGCTGGGAGGTCACAGCAGAAATCTAGGCACAGAATGAGAAGGGACTGACCCTGGGCAGCAGCGGGTTTATGGAGACGCGATGAGAGTGAGTAATACTGAGGCTTTAGCACAGAATTTGGTGTCTAGTTAGAGGTTGCCGTGAGGTTTGGAAGAAGAGCTGATAATGGCCCTGAGTGTTCGGCTTGGTGAGACAGGGAGTGAACAGGAAGAACACGGTGGACGTGTGGCGGTTGAGAACAGCAAGGTTACTGAGCCTGCGTCTTCTAATCTGTTGATAAGTGAATCAAATCAGGAGAGATTTCCAGCCTAGAAATGTTGAGGTTTCTTTCCTTTATGAAGATTCTCACTCAAGCCCAGGCTGGCCTCAAACACACAGTGATCCTTTTTCCCTTGGCCTCTTAAGGGCAGGCCTGTGTGTGTGCATGCT